CCGAACTGTCAGTTCCTTCTGTCACACGTCCCTGTTCTGGAAAGTATCAGATAGCCTCGGGGATGATGTGGGCACAGCCATCCTCGCAGCAGCGGGGCTGGCCCAACATATTCACCAGGCAAATGTTTGAGGCCAGGTTCAAGTGCAGCCACGTCCCTCCAATTGACTTTCTACAAATCTCAAAACGGCCCCACGGCAACCAATGAGACGGTGGAAAGATTACGAGGTACTAACAAGACACTGCGATAAAGAGAATTAACAATAGACGGAAGGGTTAGGAGTGCCTGTCAGGATTCTGGGAAGATGGTGGAGAGGAAGTACCAGGAATTTCTCCCCAGCAGGACAACTGCAGGGGCAGCATCTGTCTGACGTCACCACTTGGGAACTCTGGAGTCTGTATCGAAGGTCTGCAACTTCAAGAAGCGAGTTGGACTGTGATAATGGTCCATTTGGGTAAATTCCATTGACCAGCACAGTGAGGCTGCCCATCCCCCGCCCCAACTCCCTGGCAGGCAGCTGTGCACGTGGTTTCGTACACAGCAGCTCGTACAGACTGTGGAAGCCAATGTGGTCAAAAAGACTCTGCCTTCCAAATACTGGGAGTCGGTGCTGAGAGCTGATTGCTGCTTCTGGCTAAAGAGATGCAGACAGAGGTGGGTAGCCATTGTCGTTGCCCCACCCCCTCGGTATGAAGCCCCTCCTCGGCTCACGTGGCTTCTGTGAGATTTAAAGGGAGAATGCCGGGAGCCAGACATTAAAGTCTAGGACATTCAAAAACAACTGGCACCTTGGCCTGGTGGCTCAGTTGGTTGGGGTGTTGTTCAGAGAACCAAAAGGTTGCGGATCCAATTCCTGGTTAAGGCACATACCCAGGTTGCTCATTCGAACCCTGAGGGGGGTGACTATGGGAGGCAGCCAATCTCTCTCGTTCCTGAGTTTCCTCTCTCTCTAACATCGATGGAAACATATCTTCAGGTGGGGATTTTTTTTAAAATCACAAAAACAACTGCATATAGAGGAAAATTACAATGTGGCAACACATCCCCAGAAAAGACCTGAGGAAACATCTCAGGCTCATATGCGGCACAGAGAGAGCCTATAAAAAAAATTTTAAAAAAGTAAAAAGACTAAACCAGCAAACCCTGGGGAAGGGGGAGAATCTGATTTCCAGAGTTAAGTTATTAGATCCAAATGTCCAGTGTTCAAGAAAAAAACCCACAAGATATTCAAAGCAACAGGAGAGTATGTTCCATTAAAAAAAAAAAGAAGCCAGGCAAGACTAGAAAGCAAGGTGTAAACAAAATGGAAATATCACTAAATGATAGAAAACCTAAGAGGAAACCAAATAGAAATTCTGGAGCTGAAGTACAAAATTCACTAAGGGGATTCAAAGTCAGCTTTGAATAAGCAAAAGAAGAAATCAATGAGCTTAAGATAGGGCAATATAAATTATTCTTGCTGAGAAACTAAAAGAAAAGAATTAGAGAAAAGTGAATGTATGGTGCCTCAGGGACCTGTGGGACACCACAAAGCACACTGTAAACAATAATAAAAATGGAGTCCCTTTACAATGGAGCCAGAGTTGCCCTCCCAAAGGAACTGCCTTGCATATCTTATGCCTCAAATCTTTGGATATTAAAGCAGGGCAAAATAACTTTGGACTGGGCAAAAGCAATTTTGAGCCCCCCATTGTTTGCAAAGATAACAAGAAAACAGTTATTATGACTACTAGATTGATGGCTACTACACTGAAAATTGAAAGCATTATTTAGAATTGGCGTCACTATGTTATGTTATCTGCATCTATAGAAATGCCTTCCTTCTATGGATATAATTGTTCCTCTTCCCTTTCTCATAAATACTCATTGCCTTTGTCTCCTAACCAGAACACTATTTGGGCTTCTACCTGAATCAGTGCTTCCTGAATAGCTATTCTTACTGCTCTCAAATAAACATGTGTTTGCTTCTCATTTTGAAAGGTCTTTTTTTTTTTTAGGCTAACAAAACCAACATGTGCATCATGGGAGTTCCAGAAGAAGAGAAAGGGATGGAGAGAGAATATTTGAAGAGATAATGCCTGAAACTCTCAAATTTGATGAAATGCATGAATATAAACATCCAAGAAGCTCAATGAACTCTATGTAAGATGAAGTCAAGGAGATCCAAACTGAGATACATTACAATCAAAATTTCAAAAGACAAAGAGAAATCTTAAAAGCAAGAGAGAAGAGAGTCATCACATACTAGGGAGCATCAGTAAGATTATCTGCAGATTTCTTAGCAGAAAATTTGGAGAACAGAAGGCGGTGGGCTGATATAGTCAAAGTGCTAAAAGAAAAAGAACTGTTACCCTAGCCAATTTGGCTCAGTGAGTAGAGCATCAGTCTGCAGACTGAAGGGTCCCGGGTTCAATTCCAGCTAAGGGCATATGCCTGGGTTGCAGACTCAATCCCCAGTGTTGGGGGGTGCAGGAGGAAACCAATCAATGATTCTCTTTCATCATTGATGTTTCTATCTATCTCTCCCTCTCCCTTCCTTTCTGAAATCAATAAAAATATTTTTTAAATGTACCTTGTTTTTAAAAGAGCAGTTCAGTTGAGAGCTGAAGAGCCCCAGTTATAACAAGTCCTTATGCTCTAGCACAATAAAAATATTTTTTAAAAGAATCCTTTAAAAAAGAAAGAAAAAGAACTGTCAACCAAGAATCTTACATCCAGCAAAACTGTGAGAAATCCAGATATTACCAGATAAAAGCTGAGGAGTTTCTGAGCACTAGATCTATCCTGCAAGAAATGCTCAAGGGTGCCCTAGCCAGGGTGGCTCAGTTGATTGGACATTGTCCTGTGCACCTGGGGTTTGCCAGTTCGATTATGGTCAGGTACATGTCCAGATTGCAGGCTTGACCCCAGTAGGAGGTATGAAGGAGGCAGCAGATCAATGTTAGGCTCTCACTTCGATGTTTCTCTCTAAAAATCAATTGAAACTACATAAAAAAGTCTTAGACATAGAAGCATCAGACCGTCAAACTTCAGAGGGAAGGCAGGAGGGTGGTGGGGGTCAGAGATCAACCAAAGGACTTGTATGCATGCATATAAGCATAACCAATGCACACAGACAGTAGTGGGATGAGGGCCTGTGCTGGGGGGTAGGAGCGGGCTGGAAGAGGTCAATGGGGGAAAAGGAGACATATGTAATACTTTTAACAATAAAGAATTTAAATTAAAAACATAAACATCTTTTTAAAAAATGCTCAAGAGAGTTCTGTAGGTCAAATGAAAGAACAACTTGAAGATAGCAACTTGAAGCTGACTGGGGAAATAAAGATCTCAATAACAGTAAATACGTGTGCAGTTATAAAAGCTAGTATTATATTATTGTAACAATGGTTTAAAAATGCACTTTTTGTTTTTCCATGATTTAAGAGACAAATATATTTAAAGGAAAAAATTATTTGTCTAAAAACTAGTATTACTGTTACTTTGGTTTGAAATTTAAAATCCTATCTTCTACATTACTTAAAAGACTAAAGCATTTACAGGAATTATTAATTTACTAGACCCCCAGTGCACAAATTCGTGCACAGGTGGGGTTCCTTGGGGTTGGCCTGCGTGCATCAGGCCAAAACCCGCAGTCCAATGCTGCCTGCTGCTCCTGCCTGCTGCTCCCACTCATCCCGGTCCCGCTGCACCTGCCTCGGGCTTGCACCCAGTCAGTCCCGATCAGGGTAGGCTCACGCCACCACAGCAGTGCTCTATAGCCACGAGTCCTGCATCTGGCGCCTGTCCCGAGGGGTGGAGGGCAGGAAGCGATCGGCCCACAGGGTGGGCGGTGGGACACCCTTGCCAGTCTGGATCCATCCCGCTGATGTTTGCACCGGTTGTCGGGAGCCACCTGCCAGCCACTTTTATATCGTTTCTTCCTCGTGGAGTGTCTAGGGAGGGGAAGTGGCCACAGTGCCCGAGGCCGACTTACAGGAGGCCAGAGGTGCTGTCGGGATCGGGCCAATGGCGCAGGTCCATCGGTGCCTGGCCCGTTCTCTAGAGATTGGACCTGCAGGACTACTGAGGGAGTAAGTGGCTGCCGCTGGGCTGGTGGGCTGCCGAGACTGGTAGGTCAGCTAAGCGGTGCTCCCGCTGTGGGAACGCACTGACCACTAGGGGGCAGCTCCTGCATTGAGCATCTGCCCCTGGTGGTCAGTGTGTGGCATGGCGACCAGTGTCAACTGGCTGACTGGTTGACCGGTCATTTGGTCGCTTAGGCTTTTATATATATAGGTAGGATTCAATAGAGCAAGAAGATATAGCAATTATAAACATTTATACATCTACTGACAGCAAAAACTGAGAAAACTTAAAGAAGTAAGTTCTATAATAGTAGTTGGACTTCAATACACTACTCACAAAAATGACCACAGAGAAGGTAAGTAAGGAAATAGAAAACTTAACACAATAACCCACTATATCTAATGGACTTATACAGAACACTCCACCCAACAACAACAGCTCCAACCACTGAGCCACCATCCAGGGCCAAATTGATTACTTAGATGAAATGGACAAATTCCTAGAAACTCAAAACCTACAAAGTCTGAATCATGAAGAAATTTTAAAAAGTTGAATAGACCTATAGTAAAGGAGATTAATAAGTAATCAAAAATCTCCCCAAAAAGAAGAGCCATGGACCTGATGGTTTCACTGGTGAATTCTGTCAAACATTTAAAGAACAAATACCAAT